GGGAAGGGCGCCTGTCACCCGGTGCTGCTTCCCCGGCGGGGGTGCCGATAAGCGAGTAAGGCAGTAAAACCCTCCCTGTTTGCCCGGGGGATCTGTAGGAGGCCAGCGCTGTCAGAGGTGTCTGAGGGAGAAGGCCTTGGAATACAGATAAATCCACGCTTCCCGCATGCTTTTTGCGATACAGGGAGGTTCTTGCTCTCTCGATGCTTTTTGAGCTTTTGCTTTTCTCGGTGTAGCAGTGGCTGCCCGGGTAGGACGCGGTAGGAAAAGAAAGCTGTTCTCCGAGGGGCTGGTGTTGTCACGGTGGGGAGAGCCGGGAACAGAGATCAAGCACAGAATAAAGTAATTGCAAACTTTACTCAGACACAAAGGAATTCTGATGCTTGAGCACTTGTAAGTGTAGTTTTCATGAGGAAGCTTAAGGCAGCTGCCCTATGCTGAGCTCATACTTCACTGGATTTTGGCATGTTTTTAAGCCTGTGGATTTATCCCTGCCATACTGGTAGTGGCAGTTGCGGAAGAAGAGTGCTTGGGAGCAGGTGTGACTGCTGCAGGGGAGAGTGCCGATGGGGTGAAAAGACTGCTTCCCCTCTGCAGCGACTTGTAGCCTTGATCGCTCCAAAGCAGTTGGATTTTATTGTTGATGTTGCTGTGTTTTATTGTTTTATTGCTCTGGTGTTGCTCCTATGTCTTCCCTTCTGAGCCAGTGTCAAGGTGATGCAAAAGCACTTTGTTTCAGGAATACGACCTGTTCCAGGTCTGGGCAAGTGGTTGGGACTGGAGTGGAAACTGGCAATAGGTTATTCCTTTATTGTTGAGATTGTTGTGAGGTCACCTTGCTAGCCGTTTTGTTCCAGGACATAATAACAGGAATACCTTTTTATACTTTGCTCTGTGGCCGCTTTTGGTGTGTGACCCTGGGGCCTGTAGTTCCCCCTTGCAGGGGGGACACAGTATTCTCAGACTCATATAGGATTCTCTTTGTCTCAGATTGCTGTGGATGTAGGTTAGGAGCATCGCCTTTTCAAAAGACTGTAAAGCTTTTGTAATGAGTGGAGCAATGTATCTCTCTGTAGATCTGGGATTGTGAGCCTTGTTTCAGACTTATATTAAGCCCCACTCCTTTAACGTGATTTAGAAATCCATTAACCGGATAGAAAACAGGATAGAAATCACAAGGCTGATCTGGGACTGCTGGTATTGCTACATCGGGAACCAAGATATTCAAAGAGTGTTTTCAGCTGCTCGCTGCCATGGGATCTCTACATTTCTAATGTTTTTCCAAGTTGACTCAGTTTGCAGCAGAAGCTGATTGAGTGTGTTCTATAGGGCAGCTGAGGATAAATGGCAACAGAAAAGATGCTGATAGTGGAATAAGCCAAATAATAATAAGCTGCTACCCCTTATCCAATGTTTACGTAATCTGCAGACCAGTAAGAAAGTAACAGACGGGAGCTTTGTATGCCTTGTAGTTATCTAACACTGCGGCAGTCTGCAAGAGCAGGCTTTCTGGGACCGAGTCAGAGGATGAACGCACATTTCTGCAGGAGAGCCAGAAGAATACAATCCTTCTGACTCTCTGAGTATGAGAGGAGAGGGGAAGGCATTTCAGGCCAAGTTTGTGGCCTGGAAATAACTATATTTCAGCTATTTTTTCACTACATAGCACAGCGTGCTCTTGAGGGTGCTCAGAGGCCAAGGCTGCCGCAGTTGTGAGCGCATCCAACATTCCATGTCTGGTGAGGAAGGTGCTGAGATCAAAGTAGGCACAAACCAGTGTTTCTTCTCATTTTCTTCTAGGCTTTTGGACAGATCTGCTTGTTGCCATTCTTATTGAGGTAAGCGTGGGGAGTTTTTTTTCCCCCTTTACGTTCCCTTTTCAAGGTGCTTGCACTGCATACCTCTTACCCCTTATCTGAAATGACCCTTTTCTAAGAGGGAAGTTGCATAACTTGAGTAAGGGGGGAAAAAGGTTATTTCATAGGGTTGTTTACCAGATTTTGTTTAACAACTCTGATTTGAGTGACCCTGTATCAGAAGAAATTAACCTTCTTTCACAGCCAGACTGGTGCACAGAAACTTCACTGGATTGCCTCTTAGTCTTGCTGTGTTCCTGCAAAAGAGCAGTGTTTCTTTCAAAGCCTGTGGATGTGCAAATCGACTGTGTTTACCACCAGCTGTAGTGGGGAAGTGAGGCCAGACATGAAGTTTAGAATTTTTAATATGTTCTTTTTGGAGCTATTCACCATTTTAGGTTAGCCTTTTCTCCTTCTCTCTCACTCTTATGAGTATTTTAGTTAGAACCTATGTTTTCAAATATACATTATACTGAAAGCGTCTCAGTTTGAGAGGTGTCAGGAACCTCAGGCTCGCACTTAGCTTGTATATGTTGTTTGTAGCATGGTGGATCATCTCTGCAGATTCCAAGACATTGAGAAGTCTATTAAACACTCTTGGAACACCTGAATTTTTACTTCTGGGTGTGCTTTCCCCCCCCCCCCCCCCCTTTTTTTTTTTTTTAAAGTGAATTAAAACTAGACAAATATCAGCGCTATTATACAGTGGGTTGTTCCTTGACATCTGTGACAGGGTCTTGGTTTCCTTGCTTCTTTATCTGTTCCAAGCCTAAACTCTTACTGTGACCCCTGTTATATTTCATTGTAAACAAGCTATATTGAGACAGATTGTGGAAAAGTCTGAAGAGTCTGCTTATTTTAACAGGATTAGTGCTTGAATAGATGGGTTGGTTGTACTACTTTGTCCTTGTCTTTTGCTCCCGACACCTATCTTTTTTTGGTCTATGTGTGAAATATGTGTAATTAAAGTGAATGGGAAAACTTCCATCAATTCTTTCTCAGCTTGCGTTGATGAAGGCTGGCTGGCCTTATGTCAGGAGGTAGGAGGTTTTGTTAAGCAAGCTCAATAGGGTTTTTTTTACCTTGAGGAAAGGTGTGAGAGATTATCTTGTGACTGTTGCAACTCCATGCTGTGAGAAGCAGACTGTTAAGGGCAAATGTTCTAGAATGAAGTTACCTTTAAACAATCTAAAAAACTGAAGTCATGGTGGAGCTTGCAAGCTCCAGCAGTGATTGTCTCTCTCTTTCAGGCTGAACAACTTCTCTCTCATGCGTTCTCTTGATATTCATGAAGATCCCACGTTTATCCCGGAGATTGCTGCAGAGCTTACAAAGGACAAGTCTGAGGCTAAAAGCGCTTCGGATATTATCAAGCAGCTGATAGATGCAAGGTCAGTAGGTGATGTGTAGGAGTCAGTGGAAGACCACGTGTGTTGATGCTGTTATAGTAGTGGGAAACTCATTGTCAATAATCTGCATTAAAATTCCTTTTCCCACACCGTGCTGCTCTTCAAAAGAAACAGTCATCCTTCCTGTAACTCTTAAGTTGTTAATGACAACCAACATGAAGTTTCTACAAATTTCATGGAGTCTGCGCAGTGGGCAGAGACCAAATTCTGCCGGTCTTTGTCTCACCATGGCTCTGGCTGCGTTGTCAGAGCAGATACGCTTTAATGGCTGGCTAGTCAGCACGTCCATCCCTTCAAGTGAGTTTGCAGATGTGCTGTTTCTTGCCTGCAAGGAATCTCAAAGAGAACATAGAGGAAGGAGGTTTCTGGGAGGAGGGAAGGAATGCAGGATACAAAGAAAACAATCCACAGGAATTTAGGCTTTCTTAGTTAGGTTGCTAGAGAACAGCCTGTTCAGCTTCTTGAATTACTTGATTAAATCCCTCTAGATTAGGGGTGAAAAGTTACTTAGGCTCATGTGTCTCATTGAGGTCTGATGCTGAGGTGGGCTGGGAGCAGCTGGACTGCTATGAGTGCACTCCCCATCTGTTTTGTTCTCTGTTGTGGACCTGCCCTGTGGTTTCTGAAGAAGTCTGTGAGCTGCACTTCATCAGTGACAGTGAGAGTCATTTCTCTGTATATATCGCAGCCTGTAGCAAGACTAAACTAGTTCCACGCTTAAGTTCTTAAGTTAGAGCGAGGAAATACTTTCAGCTCCTTCAATTTAGAGGAAAGGGTGTATTTCCTGCAGATACTGGTCAGGGTGGGTAAAGCCTTCTGGTTCTGCATCCCCAGCTCTACCAGTGATATATTGCCCAGTATTACTGGGCAGGTTACTTGAGCCTTGCCTCCTCCCTACAAAGCATTTTATGGAACCTTATGTTGTCCTGTTCCAGGATTTAGCTTCTGGGTTAGGTGATGATCACCTAACAGACATCACAGGAGTAGTCATTATAGCTAGCTCTTCCCGTGTTTTCTTTTGCTCCTCTTAGGGTGATGAGGAATGGTCTATTTCTTAGGTGCTACAGCCACAGACTTGATCTTTAAGCAGCTTGCAGATGTCAATGCCTGTGTGTGCTGTGTAGTGCCTGCCTCTTCTCTCTCCAGCCCCCACATGCCATATGCATGGCTGTCTAACTGACTTAAACTTGGGTAGAGACCCTGGGACTGAGTTTGCCCGTATGTTCTAGCTGTTCTGTATTGCTCCAGTGATGAGCAGCAAGTGTGAATCTGGAATAAATTTCAAATGGTTTAGTGACTACTTTATTGCAGTAGGTATATGAAGCAACTGGCACATGTTGGCAAGACTGCCCCTTATTTCTGCAGCACCCTTAGTGTATGTGTGTCTCTGCTTGCCTGCAAGGAGTCCGATAGACCGTGACCTGAAATGCTTGGGCTAGGAGCCCAAAGAGTAACCATGAGGTTTAGTGGAAGTGAGCAGTGCAGTGAAATCTGCAGTCCCAGTGGGACGCTGAAGATCTGAACAGAGGCGACTTTGGCAGTACAGTTGCCCCCTGAATCTTCTCTTTGCAGGTCTGATTCTGCCAGTGATGGGTTTAGCTTCAAAGGGATCAAAGACTACCTGGATTGCTACCGGTAGGTGAAATTATGGTCTGAGAACAACTTGTCTTGCATGTTACCCTGCTGCAGGCTGATGCTGTTCCACAAGCTCTCAGGTGTCTCCTTATTGGGATTGTCCTTGAGGTACCACTGCTTAACACCACCTTCTGCAGTCCTTTCCCTCTGATAGGATAACAGAGGAAAGCGAACCTGGGGAGCTGGCAGAACTCTTACAAGCCCCACAAGTATATTTACATGCCATTATCCTTGGCTTATTGTTGGCCCTCTCTGGGAGGGACTTCTACATACCTTATTTTCCCAGACAAGTGAGAGGGCAGGAGAGGAAGGTTCATCTGGATGATGAGAGTTGCCCATAAATGCAAGTCTCTGAAAAATCCCTCGACTCCCCTGCTGCTTGTGTTCCTGTGAGCAGTTTGACTGCATCCACCCATCAAGTGTTTCCAGGTCAGGAGCAGCTGGAAGCATGTCCCCAACTCTGTGGCAAGCTGTTAGTTGTTCAGTAACTCCTGGCTGCCACTGGCACGTGTGGCCAGATCTAGCACGCTCAGATAAACCCTCCTCAACAGCCGCCTCTGCCAGAAAGCCGTGGCCTTGGTGCAAATGGCTGACCTTGCTGTCTGGTGTTAGGGGCTTATCCTGACTATGAGGCTTTAGTATCAAGCAGGACCAGGTCTGTGTATGGTGTAACGCAGCCTCTTGCCAGGAGGGAGGCAAGGCCCGTTTGTTAGAGGTGGGTTACGACAGCGCTTCTGTGGGCCCCTTCTCTGTAATGGCAGGCAGATATAAAGAGAGCTGACCTCTCAGGCGTAGCTCACGATACTGGGAGTTTCATAGCCTCAGGCTTTCAAGAGTTTGAGGGCTCTCTATAAAGCTGTCAGCCATGTTTCCCTGTTATTTCAGGAGTATCTGGGTTCCCCCTTTAAAGAAAGGGATCTCTTGATGGCATACACTGTGTTGAAATTATGACCACCCACAGATCCCTATCTAGTTCTTTGTTACAACAGTGACAGCCTCCACCTTGCGGCACCTTGTGAGAGACCATACCTGCGTGTGGGTATGGTGCGGTTGTCTTATAATGAAGTCGTAACTCTCCTGTCCCATAGGAGTGGGAAGCTGACACCATCTCAGGTAGCAAAGAATATCATTGCCATGCTGGAGGACTGTGACAAATCCACTCCCCCGCTCAGAGCGATAGTGCAATGGGACCAGGAGCAAATAATGCTGGTAATGTCTGCCTACGGTAAGAAGGGGGCCTCTGCTGCCCCAACAGCAATAGCATCTATTAGAAGGGGCAGCAGCTCTTCTGTAGATATACTGCACAAAAAATTATGTATATGTTTCCTCCCTCCTTGGGTAGAGGACTACAAACCAATTTGCTTCATTTCTTCCAAAGATAGGTAGCATTAAGGCAATCTATTTTCTACTGAGTGACTATATTTGAAACAGAATTTCTGTGCTTTTGTGGCATCTGTTAGCAGCATAGATGCCTCTAAGCAGTAGTTTTCTACCATTCTGTGATGGAAAAGGAAAAAAAAACTTAGCTTGGCTTAGCAGCAGCCTGACAAAGCCATTTGTGGGTTCTGCTCTGATACTGGTAATGACGTTCAGATCAGCTAATTTTTTTTTTTTTTTTCTGTGCAGATGGCTGAGGCCTCCACTGCTCGTTACAGGAATAACTGTACCCTTTCTTATCTGGATGGGATCCCAGTGTGCCTGAAAGAAGAGTTTAAAGTGGTGGGTTTCCTTGTCTAGTTGTCAGTTTATGCTGCGAGGCATTCTAGGAGCTTATTTTGCTCCTTCTTGTGAAGGAGCTCAAAGCAATCTATTTCAGGAAGCTCACAGTCTCTTCTTTGCTCCTGCAAATGTAAAGCGGTCAACCTGTGCAACTCGCTGTGGCAAGGTTTTAAGACCAACTCCTCAGTGGAAGCCTGAGAATATGCTTGTAATAATGGGTAGTACATCGGTTTGTAATTAGTATGATTCACAGGTGATGCCAGGTGAAGACAGATTTTGGCAATGACAGACATGTTTCATGGCTGGTACTGATCCCTTTAGTCCAAGGAGCATAGAACGTGGGAGTAGGGTGGGGACCTGTCCCTTATCTGATGAAATGAGAATGAATAAATGCGTCTGTAGCGGCAGGTGTAACTGCCTGGATTTCTCAGGCGCTAACTCTGCTCTACTGGCAAAGCATTTCTCTCCCTTTACTTTAAAGGACATACTTGTCAGAAATGTGCAAGTTACTCCAAAAATCTCCAGCCATGGGGGAGCTTGCATATGGCCTCGCAACAGTTACTGTGAAGTATTCCTGTGGGTGCAATCAAGCTGCCATATGCTGCGCTACATATAGGGCGGTAGTCCTGTTTATGTACAGGTTCTTCTACTGCTGTATCTGAGTGGAAAGTACTTAGCATACCCTGAAAATGAGCCAGTTTGATATTTTAGCATCCGTCTAATCTTGGTGCCTTACTTTGAAACACTGCAGATCTGAAGCACTGCAGTTCCTTCCATAGAAAAGTGGAAAATGGAACTGCTGTGTGCCGTGGGGCTAAAGTGCCTGCTCTGCAGCCTCTGGGCATAACAACTGCATTGCTCTAGAGAGGCAGGTTATTTGATCATCTGTATGTTTCTGCGCCTCCATATCATCACACTAAAAGGACTCCTCTGCATGTGGGGAGGATCCAATACTGAAGGGTTAAGTGTCCCTCCTAACAGAAACCGACACAGAACAAGGTGAAGAGCGAGACTGCCTGGCTGTGTCTTAACTCTGTGGGTCCTGATGTCTGGGATCTGTTGTGAGGGTGAACTGTGAAGCATGTAAGTATGCTTGCCTGTTTGACTAGGGTTTTAGGATGCATGACAAGGTGTTTTCTTGCTAAGGTGCCTTACCATCACCGAGTGGGAACAGAGTATCTTGGGACAGAGCCTGAAACAGAAGATGCTTCTGTGGCCAAGAAGCTGCGAGAGGCTGGAGCTATCATTATTGGGGTCTCAAACATGCATGAACTAGGGACTGGAACAACTGGATGTAACTCCAATGGGTAAAAATCCTTTCCCCTTTTCTTCCCCATCCCCACTCCCCCAACCACCAATCTAGGAAGGCCTAAAGGTTTGTCCGGATCTGACAGGGAAGGCTGCAAGAATAGGGCAAACATCATAATAAAACTGATGAAATGCCCCGTGCAGGGGGAACCCTAGGGATATGAAAACCCAGCATTGCAGATTTGAGGGTCAGGACAACTGTGGAAGCCTGAAGGTTTCTGAAACCAAAGGAAGGAGAGTATCCAAGTTGTTTCTGCTGAATAATGATGTTGCTTTGCCAAACCTTACAGGCTTGGAGGTGTGAATGTTTACAGGATGAGTGATAAATGAAAGCTTCAGGGACCGAAAACAAGTAATCTGCTCAATCACAGTAATTGATTGCTAGAGGCCCAGAACAGTGAGGTCAGGAGAACTTACTGTTTTTATTTCCAAGCTAACAGAGGTCACTGTAATTTGCTTTAGTTTTGTGGATTTTCCAGTTATAGCGAGCTGAGAACAGTTATTCTGGAGCAGTGGTCCTAATGGTCTTCGTAAGCCATCTACAGAACCACAGTTCATGCACACACAGATGGATGGAACCAGGGCTCCCTCCCAGCTACATCAAAGTGCCAGGGCATTTCCATTGCGTGTGGTCTGCCACACCAGCTAGAAGCCTTTCAGTGTGGCAGGCCTCTCTGGTATCTGGGCACTGTGGTTGGACTAGGGAGTTCACTGCCCTGGAATAAAGGGCAGAGCAGGGGATACTAACTTGCTTGTGATCGCTAAGAGGTGGTCAGCAATTGCTCCATCTTTTGGAAATGTGTAACGCTTCACAGGGCACAGTGCCATCACAGAGAGAAGAGCTGGAATGGCATCCTTTCTCTTGCTTTGCTCTTCCTCAGATAGGCTGCCTATGATAACAGGAGACTGGACTCTGAGCCAGAAATCTTTTTTGGGCCTCATTTTCTAGGGACATAACACTATCTGAGATAGAAGGGTGTCTCTTTACTGGGAGAATTGAATCCCTGAGTTATTTTTCTGGATCTTTCCTGCCCTATAACGTACTTGGTCCTTCCTAGAAAAAGATTCCATAATGCTTATCTGCCTCAGGTTCCACAAGATCCCAAGGAATCCCTACGAGCCCAATCACTACACAGGTGGGAGCTCCAGTGGGTCAGCAGCAGCTGTAGCAGCAGGTGAGTGGTCCTGAACCGAACTTAGAGGTGAGAAGAGGAAGAGCCTGAGCCTCAGGCATTAACTTCTGGGGGATTGGAAGCCGGGGGGAACTCCTAGCTGAACAGAGATTTCTCTATGCTATCTTAGCTACAGCTGGCAGCAGGATAGAAGGGGCAACATGACACTTCTCATTGGTGGTCTCAAACCAATGTGTTTTTTCTAGGTCTCTGCCCAGTGGCTATTGGAACAGATGGAGGAGGCTCTGTGAGGATTCCTGCTTCGTTCTGTGGTGTGGTAGGGCTGAAAGGTAGTGCCCTTTAATCGTGGTGGGGGGAATCTTGTTTTCTGTATCCGATAGGATGCCACAAACAAGTCGGGCACAGTCCTTTAATTCCTGTCATAAAAAACTCGGCCAGAGAAACTCTGGAGTATAACAACCTGAGAGTCCTACAGGTGGGATTGGCAGAGTGGAAGTGTTCCCAGTACTGACCATGGAGCAGCCGTTCAAAAAAATTAACTTCTGTTTGTGAGCCAAATGCTCAGCAAAACACATGCGCTTCTTTTCTTTCAACTCACCCTTTCCTTTTCCATCCTCCTCCTCTGCCCCTCTGCTCAGAGGTTTTCCCAACTTGGTTGGATATCCATAGTAAGCTAGTGAAAAGCATCTCCACCAAACATGGATTCTCATTGCTCCAATTAGGTGGGGAGGCTGAGACTGCTCAGACTCGATTATCTCTGGTAACTGCTAAGTTAAACCTGGTAACAAGCTTGTACCAAACCAGGACGTACCTTATCTGTCAAGGATGCTTTCCTGCAAATAGTTGGCAAAGCAGTTTTTCCAGTAGGAGTTAGTGTAAGTAGGGGGAACGTGCACAGGGCAGTATCTGCAGCGTGGAGGATGGAGAGACAGGGGCAGGATTGCCACTTGGAAGAGATACTGACTTTTAAGAAAGGTTTATCATCCTTTAGGATCTCAGCTGCTTCATCTGAGGCCAGACACTCACACCATTACCCTATTTTTCTGTCTTTCACACGTGATTGACTTGATTCATCTTGATTGATCTGAGGAAGATGATGATGATTATGACAAATGTAACCGGTCAGAAAGAGGCAACAAGAACACTCGCAGAAGACAACTGGTATTAGGCATTCTCACCTATGAGCAGTGAGATCTTTTGGAGCAGTGATCTGCTTCCAGAGCCCAGCATCTCCTGCAGTTGATAATTCTATTCCTGCCTGTCCATCTTCCACACCATAGGTGCTGCTTCTGCATATTTAAATGCATGTATTTCATAAATCCCTGCACATACTTCCTCTTCGGTAGATCATTTCTTATGGCGGGGAAATGGTTTCAGTATTTGTTGAACTCAGCTGCTTCACTGATGAGACTGGCAGTCAGCAGAATTGACTATGGAACGATCAGTGATCAGGCTCTGAAGCAGCAGAGAGAGAAGTGACTGGCAGGGGTATATTGCTTACTGACAAATGCTGAGGAACTTGGCTGGGAGGGCCAGAGCTGTGCAGGTCAGAGCGCACCAGCAACTGCTTGTTATTACCTTGCATATCTACCTAACTCTCCATTTCTTTTTCTTAAGGTACGTTTGGGCGGATCAGTGCTCATGGCAGCCTTCCGCTCTCCTACTCCACAGTCAGCGTGGGTAAGAGAACTTGTGTTTCACTTCAGCAACCTTGTTGTGTGGTGTTGTCACTGCTTGGGGAGGCACTCTGTGCCCACGAAAAGCCTCAGGAGGAAGGTCCTGTTTGCCCCTTGTCACACATGTAACCGATTTCTCTTTGACAGGCCCTATCTGTACCTCAGTGGCAGATGCAGCCGTTGTTTACAGTATCCTTGCTGAGCCGGATCCACTCTATCCGTATGGTAGGTGAGCCCTCTCCCTCCTTCAGCCCAGGTGCTTTGCCTTTCTAGAGACAGCCTAGATAAAAAGAGGAACTCTTGTTTGTTTCCTGCAGGATTAAAGCAGCCCAAAGCAACCCTGTCAGATATGTGTGCGCCTGACCTGAAGGGCTTAAAACTGGGAGTGGACTGGACATTTTTTAAGGTGCCTGTCCTGTTTCTCTCTTCCTGGTGCTTTGCAAGATGAGGTTTTGAAGGAATTCAGCGTGGTCAGTGTTCCCTTGTCTGTCAACTTGAGAGCGCCTCATATTTAGACCTATACTTAGAGGGAAATATGGTTCGGGTGAAGATATCCACTGGGATGACTTTCTTTCCTGAGACAGACCTTTGAGCAAAGGTCTGTTGGAAGTGTGAGGAAAGGTAATGACTCTGTACAGTTGATGGCAGTGTGCTTCCTCATACGAGTGTTTCCGTTGGAAGTGATGCTTCTGAACTGATTCCAAAAGATAATTTGTTTAAAAGCATGAGGAAAATTAGTTTATCCGTTTGGTTACAACAGTGTAGCTGCTGCCTGGTATTTCATCATTCCAGTGTAGAAACTGGGCTGGCAAGCTTGGCAATTGTAATACAGCCCCGCAGAGGTGCCCAAGATTTCTTCCCTGGAGGAGAACAAGGGCTGTTTCTAGCTCTGCCTCAGTGCAGAGGAGGAACAGCTCCTTCCCTGGAAAGAGAGACCATTCCTTCTCCATAGTTAGGTCCTCCAAGCTGTTTTCTTGGAGTGGGTGGCCAGAAGGCAGCTCTGGAGGGCTGCGTTTCCCTGCCATCAGAGACAGGAGAAAAGAAAGTTCCACGTGGACCAATGTGCTGGTGCGTGTGCTTGGGGGAGAGAGAGGGCAGTTATTAAAAACTGCTCAGGTCTTTTGTCTTTTTCTCTAGGCATGTGATGCAGAAATCCTGTCCATCTGTGAGAAAGGTAAAGAGCAAAACATGTAGTATCTCTGAGTCTATCTGAAGTCATTTTATGACTTGGTGTTCCTCTTATGCACCCATTAAAGAGGTGTGGCCTGGAGCCCTCCAAGGCAGATGCTTGAAGAGGTCTGGCTGGACACACAGTCGTAGCCTTGTACTAGGGAAATCCTTCTGACTGCTGATGGTTAAAAAGCTCAGCAGTTGTAGGCTCGCCTGGTTACAATGGAAGAATGGGGTCTAATGTGCTAAGCCGCTGTCTCTCTATAAAGACAGCTCCGTCTGTGCTCAGTAATACTCATTCTGCAAGCTTTAATGGTGAAAGACTTTTAGCAGAGGGACTTGTCTGACCATCCACTGTTCAATAATAAAGATAGGGCTAGGTCTTCATGAAGCATCCAGTGCTGTAGTGTTTCTTTGAAATCAGCCAGAGAGTGCCATTAGGGTAGCCTTCTCAAATTTTAGACTAAGCAAAACTGAACTTGGTGAATACTTGGAGGGGAGGCAGACTCCACAGTCTCTGGCAGAAGAGTTGGCCTCCTGAGCATTGGAGCTGAGATGGCTCACAGTACTTGGGCTTTGCTAGCCTGCATTTTTTTTCAGCCTCCTTATTTCCAGCTCTTATTTCTGTAGACACAGAGCGCTGCAGACTCTGCAGCTTTCTTGTACTTGGAGAATCAAAATACAGTCTGTGGCTTTAAAATGTCAAAGTGACAGGCTCCCTGAAAAAACACAACTCCTCTCCCAATGGCATGCAGCTTCAAAGGTGGGCTGTTAGTTGTCCAGCATAGAAGAATTCAGAGATATTACCTGCACCAGATCTGGCCTTTCTTCCACATGTGTAGAGTTTTATTAGGAGGGACATACCATATGCCAGTGAAACAGGCAAGACTGGGAATTTATAAACAAGCTGGGATCAAAGAGAGAAGAGTGTTCTTCGGAGGCTGCTTAAGATTCACTTTTTACCAAAGTCCTGCTGTTCAGCTTTGCTAGTGTGGTAGAATTTGGTGACCCTGTACTGTTGGCTTGGTCTCAGCCCACCGCAGGGTTCTCCTACCATCATTGTTCAGAACAGGCTTTGAATGAGAATCTTCTGATGCTAAATAACCACTTCATGCTCTTATGATACTGGTCATGTCAAGTGCTCAGCCCCTCTTTACTGTCTAGGTTAACTAGGAGATAGAGGGAGGAGATAAACTTGCCCAAAATGTAGTAGGTAAGTTATGAGCCTACAAGCTCCTAGCTCTGCTCTGTTGGAGCGCTGTGATCTAATTAGGCCTAAGGCTTTTACCTTTGAGAAGCAGCTGCAGCAGTCTGCCTGCCACATGATGTGCTGAAGATGTGTGCATTTTAGCAGCCTATGGAATTTCTGACTTTTCAGGGGAGTGGGGATTCTCAGCCCCTCTGTAAAAGTTTGCTAAACTCAAGGATGCTGCCTGTGCTTGACCTGTTCTGTCCTCAGCTGTGGAGTACCTGCAGAGTCTGGGAGCCAGTGTGGTTGAAGTGTTTCTTCCAGAGATGGAGGAAGTGCAAGTAGCCCACGCAGTCTGCATTCTCAGCGAGATGAGAGATTTCCTGCAAGCTGACTTCAACAAACATTTCCAGCAAATGGTAAGTGACAGAAGGTTGGATCGGTGGCAGTGGTTTTCACAGCTGATGCAGAACAAGTGCTGTATATCAGTGAGAAACCTGGGGCTTTCCTGCTTTTTCTGTGGCAAAACAACAGCTGGATGACTACAGATTCAGGAATGTATACCTAGAAGAGAACTCCTGAATTATCCAGTCCAATCTCTTGCTATTAACCACATCTTAGCCCTCTCAAACTCTTATGCCCAATGTAAAACTTTTCCTGTCACCATGGAAGACTGTCCAAGTGTGTAGAGATGTGAACTATGGTGCTTATGCTCGATGGCAAGTTAATGAGGATGAGAAAGGTATGAGAGAAAAGAAGTAGTTTGCAAGCTTCTTTCATATCCTGTGCTTGTCTAAAGCAAGAAGATATGGTTAACTAGCTTGTTGCAAGCAGAGCCATGATCAACGTTTTCTGTTACAGAATTTGGAGACTCGGGCCAGCCTGGCGTTGGCTTGCCAGTTCACAGCTCTGGACTATATCACGGTGAGGAACATACTGTGGTGAAGGCTGGAGTGGAGGCATCCAGTGAAATTACAAAAGTGGGATGGACGGTTCCCTTAATCTCCTCATGCATGGGACAGGGGCTGTGGAGAGACATCACCCAACAGTACTGCCCTCTGCTGTGAGAACATGCTGCTAAATGGTGGGGCACCACAGAGGAGATAGCAGTCCGACTGGTTGGTGTATTACATGAGTCTAAACTGCAGGAATGGAGCTGGGGCTGTAGGCTTTGATGGTTAAAGGCTGTCACCATCAAATGTAAGCCTCATGAACCAAGAGGCCCTGTCAGACAGTAGTCTCTCTGTTTGCAGGCAAATCGGCAGAGGACCCGGAGCATAGACTTCTTGCGAGAAATTTTCACCACTGTGAACTGTATCCTTACACCAGGTATTAGCAGTTTTAGCCACAGAGCTGCTCCCAGACAGTTGTGTGGTGCATTCTAAGTACAGTCGGTTCATCAACTCCCCCTCCCTAATTTTAAGAGCATGACTTCTGTGCAAAGACTCTGCAGTGCCTCAGGCCTGCAGAAGAAAATGGGTTCTGGTTAGGATGAGTGCTGCACACTTCTAGATCTGCTGCCTGTATCCATGGCAGTCAGAAAATTCCTTTTTGATAGTTGAAATAAGACCTGCAAAGCCAGTGTAGGAGGGACTGGACATCTACTTCTACGGCATGAAAATGGTCTTCTTCCAATTAGAAACTAACTGTTAAAATCATAAATCCCAATGACTTCTTTGCACTCCGAGAGGGCAGTTTGCATCACCAATGTAGATAAAACATGTGGCTTTAAGGAACTGAGCTGTATCTTGGAGATTGCCCACTGCCTGACTCTTCCATTCCATAGCTGCTGCTTCTACTGCCCCAAGAATCCATGACTCTGACCTTCTGGTTGGGTGCAGTGATTTCTCATTGACGGTCCGGACCATGAGGTAAGAAGAGTGCTACTTGCACTATAGAACCACGTTTGGGAGTAGCTGAGGACTAGCTGAGCTAACTAAAGGAGCTCAAGCTGTAGAGCAGGAGAGATCCTTCTTAGGTGCCCCTCCCAGAAAGGCTGACTTTGTTGCTGTCCCAAGGCAGGAATGCTGACGACAGCTTCTCCCCCAGGTTCATGCAGCTTGGCAACTTCACTGGCATTCCAGGCCTGGTGGTCCCTGTTGGATATTCTGCTGCTGGGCTTCCTATTAGCCTCCAGGTGAGACAATCCCTCTCTACTGAAACTACTATAACCAGGTTCCTGCCATTCCATGCAGTGCTGCTGAAGAATATGCAGGGACTGGTAATGAAATTTTAACTTCTGGGTGAAGGCGTGCCTAGAAGGGGAAGTCAGTCCTGAATGGCAGAAGGACTCTTCTGGCATCTGGGAGATGGATTTCTCTCTCTTTCTATCTGTTTGCATCACTAATCACCTAGCTGTCCGTATCATCTGTCACTACCCTTCCCTCTCTTCTCCTTATTTCTGTTATGTAATTTCTCCAAGCCGTTCCTTGTTCTTCTCTTGAAATGCTCTCACGTAAATGAAAGCTCTATGTATTTGAATTATGTCAGACAGCTGCCTTTATCTCAAATGCAGTGATGCCACATTTACTGAGGTAAAAGGGAAAAGCGTGTGCTCTTCTGGTGCTGTTGGATGTAATTTTAGCCATGTTCTGCAGGGCTTTCAGTAGTGTCTGTATGTGATGATGCTGTTTCTCTCTCTCTCTCCTCCCTGCCGTTCTTCCCCTTCTCCCTTTCTCCCAGGTCATGACAAAATGGTGGGATGAAGCTATGCTTCTCAGGATTGGCCTGAAGCTGGAGCAGTTTCGTCACCAGACCAGAAAACCATCCATTTATTATGACATCCTCATGTGATGGAGCGGCCAAGATGGGCAGCGCGCTAAAACTTTATTTTTTTCTCGTCTGATCTGACCAAGTATAAGAGTGGAATTGCGTTCAGTGTTTACCTGAATAAGGTTTATTAGCAGGCCCATTTGAGGGATGGGGGGAACACTGATCTAAGCAGGCATTGATGCTGAGCAGAGATCAGTTCTGCTCCCTGTTGGGTAGGGGATGTTCCAGTTTGTACTGGGGAGACCACCTGTGCTAGCTTGTTCCTCGCTGTTTTTGCCAGTAGGGGAAGCTGCAACGCCTTTGCCTGTATGGCTCCTCTGTAAAGACGGAAGACAGTTGGACTGCATATAGGCGGTTTACATGGCTATGCATGGAAAGCCACACTTCCTAGTCCTAAAACCTTCTCACAGAACACCTCCTACTCCAGGATGTAGCAAAGGTACTCTTTTGAGGGGGAAAGGCAGCTTCCTTTATAGATAGATTCCCTTAGATATCGTGCCTCGCACCCTTGGAATGAAGAGGATCTTAGCCTTCCTGCGAGAAGGTAGTGTGTGTCATGGCCCCTAACCTGGAATAGTCCCTCAGAGCAAAATAGAAAGCCAGTAGCTATGGAAGTGTTCCTCTGCTCTTTCTGTCCCTTGTGCTACGAACAGTGTACGAGTCGGTTTAACTGTTGCACAAAGCACGGGTGTGCTTGCTGTCTTCAGCCTTATATGCAAGGGAAGGCAAAAGCGGAGCAGGAACCCTCGTTAACTCTGAGCCAAAACTCTGGTTCAGGGCTCTGGATTTTTGTGCCACTGTTGGTGATGCACTTCCTAAGGGAAGACTTGTTGAGCCTTTGTTCTCCCAATAGTTGCTTAGGCATAAGCCTACTCATGTTTAGTAATTCCTTCTCCAGAGTGGAACGGAATGGAATAAGCTACCTGCTCTTAAGGAGATGGTTGCTGAGCCGGCAGCTATGAGGTGGTGAAACTGGTGTGGCACTAAAAAACAGCAAATGCTACTGGGCACTGCATGAGCAGACCCTGGCTGCAGAAGTGTGGCATGAAGCTGTGTGCAGCACAGAGCCTGCTCTAAACAAGAAGCCAGCCCTCCCTCTATCCCAGCTGTGCTTCCTGAAGTCATCAGGTAGAACTATGACATGGATTAAAAGACCAAGCTCTATTACTTAAATCATGATACCACAGCAGGAAAAGCTAGAGAAGACTACATTCCTACAGGAGTAGGCCCTAAAGTCACAGTACTGTGTACTACAGGCTCCACTGGAAGTCCCTGGACCGTAGACTCAAGTGCCTGTGTCCTGCCTGCACAGCTGTATCCACATCAAAGACAAGAAAAGGCCTAGGATTAACCAAGGCTAAGCATTTGGTTTCATTTTGGACTAGCTCAGGGTTAATGCCCAGAGACCTCTGTTGCCTACCTTATGAGATATCTGAGAAGGGAAATGGCTGGCCTTTGGATCAGGCTGCTGGAGAAGCTGTCTTAGGAGCAGGAAAGAGCACTGTATTCCTGCTTAGCTTGGAAGGAAAGAAGGAACAGAGAGAATGGTTGCAGTTTCGCCCAAAGCTCAATATAGTGTTTTTTTTTTTTTTTTTTTTAATCTGCTCTTTAAACAGAGCTAGCACTTCAGCCATGAGTAAAGTTAGCAGTCAGATAGCATCTGAATGAAAAAAAGAAAAATTACATTACCTTCCCCACAATTACTTGGGTCAAAGCATCAGCTGCTACTGGCAGCTGTTAGCAGCATCCACAGTTAAAAATAAGGGAACGGTTGATACTGGCTTTCATCTTCAACTCCCCTGTACAATACATGAAGAACTAATAGTTCACTAGTTTCTAGTATAGTTCAATTTTATCAAGAGCAGATTTTTAAGAGGAAAGTAGTCACTGTAATATTAAAGATAACTTATTAAACATTTCTAAAACACCCTGGAGCTCTGTATGCCTTCAAGATGAAGCAAAGGACATGTTAGGGAAATAGGAGTTGATCAGTGTTTGACAAGAATGAATTTCTCCAAGGAACACTGCTGCCTGCAAGAAATAACGGCTGGACGTTCATTGATTTAATGCTACTCCTATAGGGGTCAGAAATGGCAATATAAAACAATCAATTACCATCTGCAAGATGAAACTATTCCAAACTGCTGCTTTCCTAAATGATATACTACTGTAAAATTACAATTTCAAGATGAAGTGTATTCTCTGGGTGGAGTTAGAAACGGGAGCTCCCTAAGAGGCTGGCAAGGACCTAAAGTAAAGGGTTAGCTTTTTAAAAAAAGAATATTTGCATCCTGCTAAAAGGGAACAGGGAGCTTCTGCTGACTTCCAGTAAGTTAGTCTGTCTTTCAGCACACTGCTTCTTCCCTTTCCCTAAGCTGGTATCACATCAGTGCACAGTTCTAGGGCAAAACTCCTCTGGTACTGAGGTTTCTAAGATGAGCTGCTTGCACGCTGAAAGCCCCCTGTGTTTCCTTACTTCCCCTAGCTGCTAGCTCATCCACAGCTCTTCTTCAAGAGACCAGTTCCTATTAGCAGTAGTCCCACCCCCACCACATGCAATATAGTAGGGCAGTTGTGTGAGCAAAGCAGACACAGTGACCACACACACAATCCTGTTGCTTCACATAGATATATGTATGGGTATAGATATACGGTATATACACACTGATTTTTATATATATATATAAAATAACACCTTGTTTATAAAGCGACATTTAATTGCCACTGGTTCCCTTCCCACCCCACAAAAACAATAGTATACAAAATATAAAATATTTTAAATATTTATAAACGCCGCAAGAAAAAAATAGAACTGTACGAAAATATTTTTTTCTGAGGTTCCCTCCCTGTCGTGTGGGACGGGAAAGGGAAGGGGGACGCATTTGGCAGGCCTAGTGTGCCTTGAGTCCATAGTTGTTAAGTGGGTAGGAATATGCCCTGCCTAATACTATCCGGTCCCGGAGGAGCTTAAATAAGACATAGTAATTGCAGAAAAGGATGAGGGCCATGGAGAGGGTATGGTTCCACTTCTCTGAGCGCAGCAGTGAGTAGAGCTGGTAGCAGACCACACTGCCTTCAATGAGGATCAGCAGGTTGAGCAGCCGTAATGGACGGTGAAAAAGGAACTGCAGGGGAACAGTTAAAAAGGATGGAAAAAGAAGAACATCAGTAGCATATCTATGGTTCGTTGCAGCATTAAAGCAGGAAGCGGAGTGGATATAATGCTCTCTGACTCCACTGAGCTAGCGAGCACTGCGCTAGGCAGAAGAAAGGCTCTTGTATCCCACCCACCACTAGCTGCTACTTAGAGGACAGCAGTGGAAGAAACAAGGCATGTATAATTGGAATTTTCCTTGAGAAGGGGAGGACTGGTGAAATAACCTAATGGGCAGCTCACATATTTTCCAGTTCCCCTGGAAGATGTTCTATTAACTAGAATCCTCTTAAGAATCCTAGTCGACACTACTGTCCCCATGGGAGAGCTGTGTTACCATGGTGAGAAAGCACTGACAAGGCAGCAATGACTTTCATCTTGCCCAAAATGTAGTAGGTAAGTTATGAGCCTACTCACTCATAGACAAGACATCACTGTAATGCTGCAATGGGGAAGTCCCTCTGCCAAGAACAAATACTCTGTTTAGCAGTAAAAAGGATGTTGCCCAGCACTGAACTCTGCTCCTTCCAGCCCAGCCGAAGCATGTGCAGGAGATGGGCACATGAGGAATAACGTTCAGCTGAGAGCATAAACAGGTGTGATGCAGCCAATTCACGATGGGAAAGGCACTCCCCAGCTTCTTGATCTAAAACCACAACTCTTAACAAGCCACTGCTACTGGAAGGGTGAAAACCTCTGTTGTTCAACACTCTTCCCCTCTTGCACAGGCTCTAGTACCCCAAGAGCTGATTCCACTCACTAACGCAGCCAAAAACTAAGCACTTCTCTTTTTGGATTAGTCTTCTACCAGGTAAGTGTGCAGAGTTGACCCTGATGAATGACAGATCTCATGTGACAAAAGTGGTAGGAGCCACATTTGACAGCAAGGCTTTAAATCAGCTCCTCTCCTCCTCTGGAGCTGTGCACTCGGCTCCAGGCTCCTGAGCCGCCTCAGCTCTCAAGAACCACATAACTGAGTACCAATTACTTCACCACCACCACTGAGGACCAGCGCAGCAGCCACAGGCCCCACACCACAGCTGGAATGAAAATATCTGCAAACCTGGATGGCATAGAATACATACTTTCTGAAAAATAACTACTTGATCAGGGGGAGACTGCGTAGGTAGCATGGAAAAAAGTGTGATCTTTTGGGCAAAAGCTCTAAGCTATTGACTATTTAATTTTCACTCTTTGCTGACCTGACTTGTATACTGAGAAAGCAAACGATTACCAACACAGGAAGGTAACCAAGGTGGAGCAGCAAGTCTACTGTCAAGAGGCACAACCCACAATAAAGGCTGTTGGGGTGATCTCTGCAGGACAAGATTTTAAGACTATTGCAGTTATGGTGGTGGTGTTTTTTTGTTTTAAATTAAAAATCTGCTCTCAGTTCATTTGGAAGTAATTTGGGTACCTCTACTGTAAAGACAGGGTCCCCAGGAGAGACCCTAAAGTCAGATCCTAAAAGGTGGTGAGGAGAAAAGAGCAGGACGGTATGACTATTCTGCTAACATGTCTTTCACTGGAGAAAACATTAGTCTAATTCTTCAGTTCAGGCATAATCTGCTCTGCCGCAGCTAGGTTCGAGTCTCTCCTCCCTCCCATAATTAAGGCATGTCAACAGAAGAGATACTTGCATAAAAGCGGGCATGGGAGACGTCTGAAGGCACTGCTACATTGTAAGGCCCAACTGCTTTATACAGGCATCGACTACGTCGCACCAGTACTCCTTGCGGCCATATTGTGTTTTCTGACCAGCTGTGGGGAAAGAACACTGTAGTGTTAGCATCTGAGGGAAAGCAAGTGGGAGGATGTTCCCAGCTCACTGAAGGACTCGCAGGAACAGACCGCATCTTGAAAAATAACAAAGCCTCTGCCACAGGGAAACGTTCCAGCTCCCATTGGAAAACCACAGGGAGGTAAGACGACAATGAACTCATCAGAAGGACTCTGAGAATTCAGCAACGTAAACAAACGGCTCCCAGTACAAGAACCTAGCCCGCTGCACTGGAGCACGCCACTCCTTCCCCCTACACAAGCTACTGCTCCAGCAGCCAAGAGGAATCTGAGTATTTATTGCTGGGAGCGAATGAGCATTGACTGGAGGAGCTTAGGCTGCTCTGGAGCAGATGTTTGTTTCTAGGGAACAGAAAGATCAGCAGAGTTTTACCTGTGAGCCTGGCACTGTGGGGAATGGAAAAGCTTCCTTGGTAGGTAGCACTGCTCATACCTGCATATCTACTAAATCGTCTTACCAGCCCCTTGCCATCCCCACACTCACATGTGCTGTGGAGCATTGCTGTAGGAACCATGTTCTAATTTCTGCCACTTGCCCAGGTGGGCAGCTGATCTGTGGAGCAGGTCGCAGTACTTGGGAGGCAGCAGCTGAGTGGTGAGCATGACAAAGGCATTGATCCACACCATGATGAGGTGCTCACAGGACCAGCGCATGTCGTAGTACTGGGTGCTCTGCAAAGAGACCAGACAAAAATTTAGCACCACCGTCACAGAGCAGAGAAGGGAATGACAAGAGGACATACTGTGTGTGCATCCAGCAGACCCACACCACACATTACAGGCATGCGCTTTTGGGCCGGTGATTTCAGAGGGTTACAGCTTAGGAAACACCCAAGACTCCCTTCTCCTTGACCTGAAGGAGAAAGGGAAGGGGGATGATGCTGTAGCTGGTGCATCTCCTCCCCCAGTTCACTTGCCACAGAACTGCCCCAGGAGCACCAATTGCACCAGGACTCTTACACGGATTGTGGAGCCCTGCCCATTTCATTACACCAACTGGGTTGGCTGTGGAAGTCCCAAATATCCTTGTTAATGAATGCTGAGCTGGTTCAAGTTAGAGAAACATAGATTAAAAAAAAAAAAAAAATACAACCCCCACATTGACAAGTGGTTCTCAGATTTAAGTTCCCAAACATCCTAGTTGGCTCTGTTTTCTAACAAGCTGCACAGCAAAGCCTCTGATCCAAGCACTCAAAAACCAGGACACTGGATCTGAGACAGGTAACGTGTGCCCTTGTCTAAGAACACAGCTATCCATCTGCCTAGGACAGGGGGTGGGAGAAGGGGAGTTAGTACGTGGGGTGATGGGACTAGATGTGCATCACATTTATGGCAATACCTATCCGCCAACCAGGAGCAGTACTAGTGCCCTCCGGATGCAGCCATGCTCCGCTATCCGGGCTGCCAAAGGGGAGACAGAGAAAAGGGGAATTAACCAGGAATCTGGCCTGGCAGCAATTCACACAACATTCAGAAGGAGACGGCGGGCAGGGGCACAGAGAGAGCCAGACAAGAGCTACCTTCACAAAACAGAGTGGCAGGAACGCCACATAGTAGGCACTGAAGAGAGAGTTGAAGAGAACTTCCTTGATCCTGCGGTTGAAGTCTGCTTTTAGGCACTCCACCTCATTACGGATGAGATCTGGGGAGAGGGGACAGCTGTGGGTGGGGATAGATGTAGGATTATTGAACTGGTCTCTCAGGGATTCCCACAGAAGCGAGAGGAAATCTTTGGGTTTGACCAGGCTGCTGACACCCGAAGCCCCATCATCCACCATCTGATCTTGTACCAAGTAACCACAGTCCGCAGGTAGGGGCTGTGCTCTGCTGTCCTGGTGGAAGCAGCACAGAGGAACGTACACACCAAACCTACAGGGAGAGAAGGAAGAAAGGAACATGGGCTGAAACGACAGCCATCCCAACATGAAGATGGCATCTTCTGACCAGATGCTGGCTCATATCAGAGGGGTAACACAGGAGAACCCTCATTTGAGAAGCTAGTGGCCAACTCTTACTCTCCCTGAGAGACTAGGGGTTACAGCCTCGACCACTGTGCAGGCTTCAGTCACAGTAATGATCCCCCATGCAACTTGCCTACTGCAATTTGCTTCATAAGCTCAGTGTATCTTAGGATAAAGACTCCTCCCCTACCTCCCTCATTCCTAATTCCCCTCTACTTATTAGGTTAGGAAAGGTCTTTTGCTTGCTTGTCTTTTGGGGGCACATTACAGCCAACAGCTCTTCTTCTCCAGGTGTTCCCTATGTGGCTCATGCCAGCCCGGGGGGCTATGCTCCCTCCCTATGCTGAAGGTACAAGGTGTTGTTACTCACGGGTAGCCCAGGAAGAGGAGGTTGAGAACAGAATGGCTGCGGAAGAGATTGACCAAAGTCCAGCAGAGCACCCATCCACAGAGGGTGAGCAGCACCAGGCGCACCATGTAGTGAATCACTGATGTTGCGCCCACCTGAGAGGCCTGCAAATCCAGAAGAAACATTCAGCCATTCCATCAGGCTAGTGCTAAAACATACAGCACAGGGTATACCTGTGGAAGAGGAGCAGGGGGAGCGTGCCAGAAGGCACTTAAGAGGCATGGCTGCTCTCTTCCTCCCAGAAGTTTGAGTAACTCTGTCTCACAAAGGTGAAGTCCTTTGATTTCGTTCAGTGTTTGGGAAAATCCAAAAGATTCATGAATAACCACAAGTCCTAGGGTATGACTGAAATAGGGCCTTTTCAAATCCGAGCTGCAAAGTAGGAAACATTTTTGCTAAAGTTCTTTATTGCTCCGATGATACTCCAGGAGAGCCTGAAACACGTTTCCTCTTGCTATTTCCTTTGGAAGTATCAGGTCTCAGCATTCCTTTTCCCAAAGAACTGGAATGTCCCAGCTCTCAGCTGAAGGAGATGCAGATGGTTTGGGGTGCACAATCCCCAAACTAGAATTCCAGCACCCATCTCTATTGGATACACAGGCTGTAGTCTAGTTAAAGGAGGAGCCACCTTCAAAAGAACAGCAAGGAAGCTTGTTCTGCTTTCCAGAGGGGATAAGGCAAACTGAACTATAAAAACATTCTTAGGGATTAGAGCCAATAGATGGGATGCTCAAGAATCTGCATGAAAGGTTTCAAAGCAGAAATTTCAGTCTACAGGAGGTTTTACTGAGGATGGGAAAGTAAGTGAAAATGGCAGCAATCAGAGGTGGAAGAGAACTTCTGGGATCTCATTTAGTCCATTCACCTATTCAATAGGACATAACTGTTTTCTCTGTGTGTGTGTGTGTGTGTGTGTGTTTTAAACCTGTCACTTAGTCTAGAGTCATATTAGCTATTTCAGTGGGCAGAACTTCCACTTTCCCCAGAATGACCTTTCTCAGACTTATATTTGGTCAAGTTCTGTTCTCAGACACCCAGATACAAACTCTTTCAAAATCCAAAGTCATAATATCAGAGCCTCGGAGTAATCGGAGTAAGCTTAGCAAGGAGCACTAGTGTAGGAAGAACAGTTCTACCAGCTATTCCTGTGTCACTTTGGTGTACTCAAGATATCCTCCTCCTTCTGCCATGTCCTCTGTAGTCTCCTGTTCAGTCTTCCAAAATAACAAACCTCCCTCCTCCTCACTCTGCTACCTGACTAGCAATTCTCTCAGCCACTCTTCTGGCAGGAGACAGTGAGCTAAAGTATTGTGCCTGCAGGGATATAGAAGCAAGTGTGATCGTTCCATCTCCTTCTAGGTGCAAAGACAACAGAGCTCCCAAATACTACAGGACATGAGTGGGCTGAGGTAGACGAGCTCCAAGGCAGAAGGGCACTCCCAAAATCTTAGCCCTTCACACTCAGACTTTTCCTGCAGGAAGGAATCCTCCAGCTATCCAACTCACAGAACTCTCTCAATCCAGGAATGGTTATGTTCTACGACCAGTGTTAGACGCAGCAGAGAGAACAGTGGGAACGTTACCTCGGAGATGAGGGCCCACACCAGTCTCCGAGCCAGCATCACTGTAATGAATGCCGCCAGGTGGTAGTCAATGAGGTGAAAATTCTGAAGGAGGAAAGAGAAAAGGTATTTACCAAGAGAAGGGACTGCGAAACCACCCAGCTTGAGGGGGGAGGGCAGGGGAGACTGGAAAGCTGGCTGTTGAGAGAGCATTGGGATCTCACGTAAACATGCCCCAAATCTGTCTATTAAGGATAGGAGAAGGAAGAAAAATCAGTAACACAGGAATGTCTACAGAAGTAAGATCTTCCCCATATGTTCCTTCTCACAGAGGAATTTCTACTTGGGAGGGAGGGAGTGTGTACAAAAAAACAAAAACAAACAAACAAACACACACACACACACACACACACCCTTCAGGCAGATATTCTGGGGGTCAAGTGAGATCTAGGACCAGGTTCCTACTGTGGAGAACTGCTCACAAGTTCTCCTGGGAAAAGCTGCTAACTGATCAGAGTAAGGGGAACTGAAGTGCAGTCCAGAGTCCTGCACACCTGCTCACTTCACCCCTTTGTCTCAAAACCAGGCTGTAGTGACCACCAGTGCTCCCAGATGTCATCATCAAGTTGACTTGAGAACTGTGATCTTCATGGGTCGTAGCTCTGTACTACAGGTTAGTGCTGGCTCTGGCTGCATCAAGTTAGATACAACTCTTGGGCTCCTTACAATTTGTTAACGAAGCCATCAAATAGCTTCTGTTTATAATGGTTAGCAGACTCTGAACATTGCTCTCTGGGACTTGAAAGATTTTTTTCTGAGTAAACAAGAATGCTCGACTTCTGAGGGGAACAAATGTAAGACCATTAAGTCTTTTCATGCAGGGAGCCTAATACAAAATGTTTTTTCCTCAAAGAAAGCTGCATCCAGCATCACATAGCTAAATTTGAAACATGTTGCTGGATAACTGGGATACCAGCACCACCTGTCAGTATGGAAACCAAGGAACCACCTCATGCTTCAAAGTAAGAAGGCCACCATCTAAGTTGGAAGACCACCTCAGATGCTAGCTGCATCCAGATGAGGTTGGATGGCATTACAAGACTCAGGTACAGGTCACTGCCAGGATGCCCAGCTTTCTGGGCCAGGAAAGACTCAGATTGAACCTGTGGAGATGGCAAGGTTTACATGAGCTGAGGATCTGACCTCCTCCCCAAACTCCTCTGCTGCTGACCTGCTGCAAGATCCTCATGAAAACGTCTATCATCTCCGTTCTCTCAGTCTCTGGTGTTTCCACTGGGAAAGGGCACCAACACCAGGAGAGAGCAGGCTGCTAGAGTCTCGACTCCATTTCAAAACCTTGGGGCTAACTAGGCCTCACAAGTATCGTAAGAGAGATTTGCACTGAAGTAGCCCTGCTAACACCTCTTCATCTCATTCTCTCTTTCGTTTTCCATGTATTTTCTCCCCTTTAAAACGAGGGATGACAGGGCCCTGGCTGATGGCGGGGTGGGGGGAGGGGGCACGTTAAGTCCCCTTCACCCACTTAAGTCAAATGCTTGGCAAGTCCCGAATGGAAGCAGCATGAACAGAAGCTGTGAAATCATGAAACAGAGGTGACTGCATAAGCTGGGAAACTCACCAGTGAGGTGCAGGAAGCAGGATGATTGTATGGGTACCACCAGACGGTCTTGTAGATGTTGATGTACTGAATGAAGAGAGCTACCAGTAGGTAGATGAAGAACAGGAATTCAAAGAGAAGGCTTCCGTCCAGAGGCAGTTCAGGGATCCGGCAGTGACGTACAGGCTCCGGAGTAATCAGAGCTGTGATCGGAGGTGCAGAGAGGCTGATGGCACTACCATTCCTGAAAACGGACAGATTTCACTCACTTTGGGAAACATCCAATGTTGACTCCACCATTTTCCAGGAAAGGGAGTACTTGGACCTCTAAGTTTGGGACTGTGCATTGCTGGAGTAGAGATGGCAGCAGTCCTCTCTTAAATAAGGAGGTACCTAGAGGAGTTCAGCTACCTCCCAGGGGCTGACCTGTCAATGTACTCACATTTCCTTCTTCTCCAGCCTTCACAGGAGCCCATGACAACTGAAAGCTCCAGCAAACTAAACTGATGGAGAAACTTCAACAGGTGTAAACCCTGCTGTATTTGACTGAAACCAGAATAAACAACATTCTCCCAGGATCAGGGAGCTGATTCCATGTTTCCAATGCAGTCACTTTTTCCTCAAGAATCTAAGACTGTGCCATTCGTCCACCTGTTCCAGCCCGAGAAGTCCTTAAAGGCCAAAACTAAAGGGCTTGGCCCTCTCTGCTCTGTAAGAATGAAGTTACACCACCTAAGTCAGGACCTCAACATGCAGCAAATCGTTTCTCCAGTCTACTCACTTCTGCAGGGAAGGAAATAACACTGGGCTCTCTCAATCTTTATGACAAATGAGGAGCTCTAAATGTCACTGTGTGTTCCTTATTCAGCCCCCAACTTCCCCAGAAAACGGAGATGAGCTTTACCAAGTGTGAGAACCCGTTTCACGTGGAGCTGACAGGGCTAAAAACAGAATACAGACATCCTCCTGCCCTGCCTTTCTACCGCGTAGGAGGGGGACTCACAACTGGGCTCTGACACGTCACAGTAATTTCCCAGGGCATTGCAGGCAACAGAGTAAGAGAGACGGGGACTCATAATCAGCTAGAATTCACTACCCTGGGAATTGCTACAGGGAAAGACAAAATGAGTACTATGCAATTTCCACCCTAGCCATTGCAACCGCAGTGAAGGCTTGCTGAGACCACTTCTGTAAGCTTCCCCTTGAGGCAGATTTTAGCATGAGTTGAGAGAGGGGCCGCAGAGGGAAGCACACATCACCAGGAGAGCTGGGAAGAGAAGCTGGGGGAGGGTTTTAGCATAAGGAGCCCTTCAGGAGCTGCTCTGTCTGAACACCACAACAGCGGATTCAAGGTTCCCATCTCCCAGTTCTTTGCTTTAACCATTAAGCCCCACTTCCACAGTTTAGAGCAGATCAAGACTCCTAAGCTTTTAGTGTCATCCTAGCCACAGGTGTCTCAGCAACCACACTTTTGCCCTCACCTGTTTCTCAAACCAGTACCGTTGCCACAGCTCCCACCAACCAGAGTCTGGAGAGACGGCAAAGCTGAACGGCTTAGCTGCTGCCGACTGGGTCCCCTCCTTCCACCGGGCATGACCAGGAACCAGTCCACTTTCAGTGCCTCCAGCAGGCTGTGCCCCGAGACCCAGACAACAATCCTGAAGTCCTCCCAGGTCTGCGAAGGAGGCAGAAACATCAGTTAAGCTGCAAACTTCTGGTAAGCTGGTTCACACCCAAGCCAAATGAATTCATGCAACGGGAAGCCGTTCTCCTACATGCAGAGCCTTGTAGTAAAGGCGAGGCACCCATCAGCACCCTAAACACCACCCCATTTTGATGGCACCAGATCAGTGCCTGTCTGCTTACACAGAATGGACTCCACTGACACTGTATCTTTAAGAAGTGACTGCTTAAATTAGCCATCAACGACTTGTAGCACTTCCTGCTGGCTGGAAAGCTCTACTGAGCCTCTCTAGTGCTAGAGACAGCACAACTGCGTGGCTTAGTTTAAGAGCAAACATGGAAGAATCCTCTCTCTCGTCCAGTGTGAGAAACTGCTAGAGCTTTTCTGGTCTTTTTAACCATCCAACACACCATTTGATAGCATCTGATGCTGGTAGCTAATTTGGACCCCTCTCTGTTGGAGCTCTAAATGGACGGTCCTAATTGGTCTACATGAAGGTTTGGCAAAGCAGTTAATTGCATAGTTCAGCTCCCTTAGTGCTAAGGCAACCTGACTGACATGCTGGTAGGAGGTCCACTTAAACATGGTCCTAGCTAACAGAGTAGTGCAACAGAAAATATATGTATGCAAGTACTTCAAATTTATAGATAGGCAATCACATATCCCAGCCTTAATTTTGTATTAAAGAATAGCCTTTTAAGTATTTGATTATTTTAAATGATGCATTTAAATCAATCACTTCCTTAAAATGAACTACTATGAGAGAGGCTGAGCAATTCAGAGGGTCAATAATAAAGCTGGATTCTCTGGCACAGACTTTCACCACTTTCCATCTACTTTTGCTTTTATTTCCTAAATCTCACCCATGACACTGCAAAGATTTTGGAAGTCAAGTTAAGTTTTTGATGGCTGATAGACGTAAGGGAATGATAACTTAAATTGGAGCGCTAATCCTGAAGTCATTCCAAGTGAGCATGCTGTACAGAAACAAGGTATTGAGGCTGAACATCTCACTACAAGGACTATCTCTGTGCGCATTTCCAGAGAGAGTAATCAGGTGCCCTTTTGGCAAAATATCACAGCCTGAACCAACCCAGGGTCCCAGAAGGTGGGAGTGCTTTTTTGGAAGCTCCGTATCTTTGACATTTACAGATGAAGCCTATCTTCTATTTATAAATCAATTATCACCTCCTTTAAAATCCCGAGAAATCATAGCTGGCAGAGGTGCCAGGAAGTTTACTGAATGAGTCACATCACTGTCACGGTAAACAGAGAACTATTCCAAAAGACCCCATCTGAAAACTTTCTTTTGTATTAAAATTTCTCATGCTGCATCTCTACTCCAATAACCAATTATCAAAGTTTCAACAAAAGTCAAAACGGTATTTCTAAAGATGAATGCTGTGTACATACCCATGTGCAGGTCACTCGCAAAAAAGTAAAAAAGAGATCCTGGAGAACAAATGGAATTGTGAAATTTCATGAAAGAAAAGAGCAAACATTGGACAAGTTTGTGTTTGGAGGAGAAAAAAAAACATATTTTTTCAGACTTCTTAAACCTCTCATTATGATTCCAGTGACAAAACAGAGAACTGAATCCTTCCTCATCTTTCTGATCAATACTTTAAAGCTTAGAGAAAAACTTCTCTAGAATGTTCTGGAGTTTTATTTGGGAATGCTTCAAAGACTCACATTTCAGGAATTAAATACAAACAGAGGAAAATTCTCTTGCCAGCCCTGCATGCATGGGACAAGCAGGGAGGGCAAAAGACAATGCAGAATTCACCAAAGGCATCCAGATGCTTTGTAAGAGCAGTTAAGCAGAAAAGGATGAAAAAACTCTAAAAGGAATAATTTAAAAGCCACTTTAAGACAAATTAAGCTGTTATAAGAACTGTGCAAGCTAAAATAATTGATCTGATCCAACCTACAGGACATTTATGATAACGGATGCAATACCCAGAAGCTGGTGCTCTAATTAGAGGTATTAACAGTGGAAGATACTTTATGCCACATTCACTAATTCATGCAAATAATTCAACAGCTTCCATTTGTATTATCCAGTTAGTATGCTTTACATGCTCATCAACTTAGACGCTTGGAAACTAAGCCATCACACTTTCACCCTCTGGTTTTGCAAACCAGTAAAATGCTGGTGTCTACTTGTAAAAGAAGAACGCATATAGGAAGAAGCTCTCTTCAGTGCAAGTACACCATATTTTAAATGCCCTTGAATAATCCCTTTCACAGTGATCTATGAACATACAGATTGAGCTAACCTCTGCGTACAGTTACTAAAGCTACGCTTCAAATAACTGGTTGACTTCCCTGGACTCTGATTAAGTTCAGCAG